TGAGCTCTGCCTGACAGAGTAAACTCTACTATCAGCAGTTCTTTTCCAAATCATCCTAAGACTTTCTGTCCAACCCCTATACCTGTTGTCAACATCACCACATTTGTTTCAATGGTTTTGCACTCCTGGTCCACTAACTCCACTGTCAAACAACAAATCAATGCTCAAGCATTCTCCAGAGCACATTTGGTGATATAAACTGATGGATAATAGGCAAGCACTGGTGCTGGTGTCTGTGAACAGTTACTGTGCTGTTAGTCTGAACAACACTTCCTCAAAGCTGTAGCTAAGTTTAATATCCATTTAACAAGAATATAGGTAAAGTGGGCAAGTGTTGGCATCTGTATTCCCCATTATCCTAAAAACCTGAGTTACCTACTGTTGGTCTGGAAGTCACTCTTGTATCTCAGAATGCTCTAATGCTCTGTGGAAAATAAATAAATAAATAAATAAACAAAAATTACCCTTCCCTAGGTCTTCAGTCTTTTATGCTTGATGCCCCAGCAATCCCAAAGGGTGTTAAAAATGTGTTTAACACTCAGACTATCCATTTTAAATTTTAGCAAAGACTGAAGGGTTTGCCAGTGGTTTTGCTTTCCCAGCATGAGCCAAATGTGCCTGCCAGATTTCTCAAGAGGGGATGTAAGATTTTCCCATTTCTAAATAGTCCAATGAAGCATTAAAATATTGAAACATAAAATGAATCTGTTTTATGAAAAGATTCTCTGTTGCCAATGAAAGAGGGCTGGCAAACACCTGAGGACGCTGGGATCTTTTCTCCTCTGTGACCTGAGGTTCCTGGGAAGTGACCTTTACCAGTGTGGAGGCATAGGAATGCAGTGGTGCCAAACTTCCCCTCCAAACGCTGAGGGCAGCCTAGTGGAAAAACCTGTAAATACTGCAGAATGTAGTGAATTGTTACTAGTGCTACTGTGTCTTTAGATAGAGGCATGTGCCTCTTATGTGCATTTTATTCTCCATAACTCTCTTTTCATAACAGTTAACTACTATATAACAAGGAAAGAAAAGCCAGAGGTGTCATAGTTACAGGAAGTATATAGTGTCAGTGGATTTGCATAGTATTTAGAAGAGTTAGAATTACATTGCAGTGACGCAATTCTACAGCACTTGTTAATTCCCTCTTCTCCCCAAATACTTCCTCCTGACTCCCACTCTTATTTGTTTGAACATACCCACTCTGTTATTCCTCTCTCCAAGTGCTGTGTGGTTACCGGACAACTGCAATTTATCATATTAATGCTGCATTTAATATCCTGTACCAGATCCCAGGCTGACAGTGTGTCCGGATGAGGGTCCACTGGCCCCTTCTAGGCACAGTAATCCAGACTCTCCCAATGCGATCCCAAGACTTTTGCCTCTTGTTATCAGTTTCCATCTGTCCCTATGAAAATGTTGCTCTCCATTCCAGCAATTGTCACAAAATGAGTTTTAAAATCCTACTTGTTTGCCTAATGAAGCTGTTTGTGAAGCATTCCCAGGAGAACTCACACCATGGAGACCTCCACATCAGAGAGAGGCTTTATATTTGTCACATTTCTATCCAGAGTTCAGGTTTCATAGAGATATTCCCTATCCTTTACTATGTGGCATCTTGTTCCTCTGCAAAGTGCCTGACCAGAAGAAGCAGAGCTGCTGTAACATCTTCTGCTCTGATGCTGGTAAAGGGCAAACCTCCCATGAACCATCTAACATCATTGCAAGGGTGACCCTGGAAAACGCCCTGGAAATGCCCTTTCCTCTTTCCACCTTGAGAGCTGGTTTCAATTGTCTCCCTTTTTTGGCAAACAGGGGTAGAGGTGGTGACATCAAGGCCCTTCTTGGCACCTCCCTTTTCACAAGGAAGCATGCATTCAATTAGAGGATTTTAATTAAAATACTTCTCTGTAGCATCCTGTTTCCAGGCCTTGCTGTAAATTTAACTTGACGTTCTCTCATTTAACAGGTGGGTGAGATTATTCTGAGAGCTGCCAGATGGAAGAAAGTAGAAACAGAGCTGGCTACTCAGATAGAAGGAGAGGAAGAGAGTGCAAAAGCGAAGAGTGGGATACATATTTGCTGGGTATCTGTCAATTTTTACTGTGTAACATTTAATCCCTTTCTGTGATGGTTCTTCACTATCATGTACATGTGACTTTAATTTCTTCTGAAGGATAAAGATTGCAAATTTTGTTTCCTTTCATTTTGCATTGGAGCTGCTCAGGAACAGCTCCACAGCAACCACTGAGTTCCAATTGAAGCAAAATTCAATGTACCCCCATCCTACCTAACGAAAAGAAAGAAAACACCCTTCAGCCTGAAGGTGGGAAGCAGAGTAGCAGCTGTGAAAGCCATGGGAGTGGGCAGCTTGCTAAAGGTCTCTTCTGTGAATGCAGCTTTGTCAGCACCAGCCTCCAGATGCAATGGGTTAAAGGATATGGGAGAGAAAAAATTGTTTCCGAGAGGTTGAAATCCAACAGCTATCAGAAGCAAGGATAAGGAATGTGGAAAGCAGCCAGCTGTGAGTCTGTGAGGCAGAGAGGCTGGTGACAAGGGATGATTAGGAAGGAAAATTGAAGGAACCAAAGCAGAAGAGAAAAAGGAGGACAGGTCAGGAAGGAGGAACCTCAAAGAACAAGGAAGAAATAAGTGCTAGGAGTAATGGAGCTCAGGGAGAAGACTGAGAAAACTGTGGTAGGAACAATGGCAGTAATGAGGAGGAAAGGAAATGAAGACCATTACACTCTATTTTTACTCCTGGCAGCAACAAAACATAAAAGAATTAAAGACCAAACTGTGAACACTGATCTCCCACTGTTACGTAGGACTGTAGCAGTCTAACCTATATGTGTGCCACTAGGAAGTGAGCATTAATGAGCAAAGCAGAGCAGAGGCTATGTGAGTCGTCACAAAGTTGTGGTGCAAGCAAAGAGTGTGTTATAAGTCATCAGAAGCACTGGGCTCTGCTGTTGTAACCTAGAGTAATCGTGCAATTAATCTCACTCTTGCCTTTCTGACATGGACCAACTGCTTTCAAGGGAGACCTTTGCAGCAGAAGGCTTAGCAGATAAGATGCTCCATGGGAAAAATATTCCAGTAAGCATTATCTTCCTCATTTCCATTTGGTAAAGGCTGCTTTAGGTTCTAGCTTCAGAGGTTTGGAGCATTCAAAGCTGATGATGAACTGCTTAGATTTTCTATTCTAACCCCAAAGGCCCACAGTGGGAATTGCAATCTGTGTGAGTTGGCTGTAGACTGAAGGACTTAAAATTGTGCAGGTAAGCGCTACAAGTTCTTATGGTGTCCTCACTAAGAATAAGTTTTTATTCAGAGCTGTGGTCAGTCCAGCAGTGACATAAGAATGTTTTGTGGAGATGAAAGAGCTTTCATGTGCCCATGAAACAGCTTCTTATAGGATGAAACAGAAAAATATCTGAGCATATTACATCTACATTTTCAATGAGACTTTGAATTATCATGGGCAAGTACAGCTTTTCATCAGTTTAGCAAAGTGAAATATTTCAATAGAGACAAGCACCAAAACAGATGTTTTTAATTCCTCAAGCAGAAAAAAAAAAAAAAAAAAAAAAAAAAAAAACCAAAAAAAACAAAACAAAACAAAACAAAACAAAACAAAAAAAAAAACCAACAAAATTCTATTTAAAAATGTATAACTATAATTGTTCTCTATTAAAAATTGGTTCAGTGGAAAAATTCTCCAACAACAAGCATAGCCTAGATGTTGGTACAAGCTGAAACTTACATCTGAGTGCTGCTGCACAAAATCAAGTGCTTTAGCCTCCAGAAATACTTCTATCACTCACATTGTAATCACTCTACAAAAAAAGAGATCTTAATTATTTTCCTGTGGGATCTGCTCTCCATATTATTATACTAATGATTTTTAAATGCATCAGTATCCTTTAATTCTTTACCAGTCACGTCTGATACAAATCTTTCCATAGGTTTCCCTGGGACTGATTCCAGTCTAATATGCCTGTGTTTGCTTGAGCAATCCCATTTATCCTCTTGAACAAAGGGACAACAACTAGCTTCTTTACAATCATCTTGAGCTGCCTCGGTGTTTCAGAACGTATGAAATATCAACTGGAATAGCTCAGAATACTCTTCAGCAAAGCTCTTTTGAGCTCTCTGCTAACATACGCCTGGTCTGTGGATCTTAAAATGTGAAATTTTAGTAATTGTTTAAAATATTCTTGAGTTACTCTTTAAAATATTTTCAGAGGTTCTCAGGAAAGATGGACCCACCGGGCTGCAGAGAGCTACTCTTTATCATCAATGTGCTATGTGTTGCCCAGCTGCTTTCACATTAAGTCCCACAACTTTAGTTTGACTAAAGCCAAAGTCTAGGCACAATAGAAGCCTCAGATAACATCCGTGCTGATGTTTCTGCAGTAGCAAGGAAGTGATGACATCGACGACGGAATCGAGTACACCCTCAGCAAGTTTGCTGATGACACCAAGCTGAGTGGTGCAGTTGACGTGGAGAAAGGAAGGGATACCATTCAGATGGACCTCAACAGACTTCAAAGGTGGACCTGGGTGAATCTAAGGAGGTTCAGCACAGCAAAGTGCAAGGTTTTGCACTTGGGCCGAAGGAAGCCAAGGCATTTATACATACTGGAAGGAGCGTCCTTGAGAGCAGCCCTGCAGAGAAGGACCTGGGAATCCTGATGGATGAAAAGCTCAACAGCAGTGTGCTCTTGCAGCTCGTAAAGCAAATGGTATCCTGGACTCCATCAGAAGAGAAGTGGCCAGCAGGGAAAGGGAGGTGATTGTCCTTCTCTCCTCTGCCCTTGTGAGGCCCCATCTGGAGTACTGTGTCCAGGTCTGGAGCCTCCAGTACAAGAAAGACAGAGAGCTGTTGGAGAGGGTCCAGTGGATGGCTACAAAGATGATCAGGGGACTGGAGCACCTCCCCTACAAAGACAGACTGAGGGTGCTGGGCTTCTTCAGCCTGGAGAAAAGCAGGCTGCAGGGTGACCTCATTGCAGCCTTTCAGTACCTAAAGGGTAGGTACTCCCTACAAACAGGAGGGAAGTCAACTCTTTGAAAGGGTAGATAACAGCAGGACAAGGGGAAATGGTTTTAAGTTGAGGGAGGGAAGATTTAGGTTGGATGTCAGGGGGAAGTTCTTTACTATGAGAGTGGTAAGGTGCTGGAACAGGCTGCCCAGAGAAGCTGTGGATGCACCATTCCAAGAGGTGTTCAAGGCCAGGTTGGATGGGCCCTGAGCTAGTATTAAAAGAGGAGGTTGGTGGCCCTGCCTGTGGTGGGAGGTTGGAGATTCATGATCCTTGTGGTCTCTTCCAAACCAGGCGATTCTGTGATCCATGCACACAACCTACAGCTCTGCAAACAATGTGCACTTTGTACTGTAGAAGAATTTTATGTGATCTTGGCGAAGTCCCATTTGCACCTTAAGTTGAGGTTGTGACCTTCAGCACAAGGCATCTAAAGCAGAACTGCTTTAGAGAAGAGATCAGTTCCCCCTCAAAGGGATGAGTTTTGCTCAAGCTCATTTCTCAGGCCTTAGAAAAATGCAAAGCAAGAAAATGTTACTTCCTTCCCTAGAAAACAGAAAGAATACCATAATATGTCTGGTAAGCTCAACACCAAGGAAAATCTCCCTTAGGATAACTTCAATGAACTAGAGAAAAATCCAATGTACAATATATGCTTTAAGTTGTTACTCATATGAAGAGTTACACAGAACCAAAGGGTTTTGCAGAATGCTGAATGCAAAGGGAGATAATTTCTTCTGCAGAGAGCTTTGATGCATGTGACTTTCTCTGAGCCACTGCTTTCCAAACTGTGTGCTTTCTTGCTGGAAATTGAAATGGCATTTCAAAGTCTCAAGATTTCCCTGTAGGTCTGTATTTGGTAGTCACTGGAGCGAAAGTAAGAACCCTCCATTACTTCTAAATTATACCAGAATGCCAACATTTGTGAAATGTATATGACTCAGGAAGTTCCTAAGCTATTTTAAGGTTCTTCAATTTAAGTAGCTTCTATCTTTCATTCTCCTTTGCTACAGGTGGCAAACTTTTATTCCATCTATAGAACCATATAGTGCCCACTGCCTTTTTTTTCTCTGTAGAACTGAAAAACAGTGGGAGATAAATACCTTCAACTTTCTGTTAAAATGACCTGTGTTAACCAGGCTTTCTTTTCTTTTTTCTTAATACACCTTTAAGTATTCTCTTTAAAGCCACTGGTCACTTTCATTTTAAAAACTCACATATTCTTAATTTATAAATTATTTTAATCATCAGCTACTTCCACCTTATTTATGTGACATCTTGTCTTTTAATCACTGCTTCCAGATAGCTTTTTTAACCAGTCTAATTTCCACTGAGCTATACTTCCATCCATATCCAACACTGTAACATTTTATGGATACACACGATGATGGACTGTGCCATTGTTCTGGTAGGAGATTCACAAAGAATTCCAAAGCATAGCTAGGATTTTCCAAATTTTCTAATCAGGAATAGTTAAAAGCTTTGGAAAATGGAATTGGAGATTCAAATAAAAAAATTAATTATTGTTTCATGTGACTTTTTTCACACACGACAAATACACTTTTGCAGTGACTGGTGATCAGGCAACCAATGACCTTTAGCTTAGCTACTACCTTTTGTTCTGTTCAAGAGTTGGCACTGAGTTACCTCATTGCAGACGCAGCATACCACGTGTAAGGAACTTACCAATTATTATTTTTAGAAACTCTCAAAAGTTTTGTCAACAGAGCATGAGAAGTCCAGCAAATGTTTCCCAGGTTCCTCTAAGCCAGATGTCTGTTATTCTCTATCCTTAGTGAAACTAGTTAGATGTTTAGCCCTCACATATTCAAATTCCATGTTTCTAAGCCTTGACTTGTGGAGTACACATCATAGTCTCTCTGATGTCTGGAAACACAGTTTCACCTTTACTTCCCTCGCTGTACAGGTTGTAACTATGACTTTTAATGTCCATGTTGTAAAATTTAATCCATCCTACGTGTAAGGACTGCACCTAGAATGTAAGGATTGATATGGCCCAGTTTGCTTATTATCTCATAAACAGGTGGAACACATAAATTTTCCTTTCACTCATGTGCATGGTTGTATCTTATAACCTGGACCCAACAACTGGTTACAGAAAAGTGCCTCAATGTCTTTACAAGTTCAAACCACTACTGACTGCACAGTCATCTCAGGACAACCTTAACTAACATGGCCCAACTAGACATTTACTCCTCTCCTTTGGAAACAGATCTCTGCTTGTGGCTAAAACTCAGGAGGACATAGCTAGGAACATTTTCTATCATTTTGAATGTATGAATGTAAGCTAAAATATTTAAAAGAATTTATGTGAACACAGGTAACATTAACAATATGCCCTACAGGATTATTTACCTACAAGGCTATCCACAGCCCATTCTTAAACATATGTACTCTTTTCTGCTGAAGAGCCCACTCAGACCTCTACATCTCCCATGCCCTTGGATTTTCACAGAGAAAAAAAAAAAAAAAAAAAGAATAAAGTGATTTAGGAAGAGTTAATGCTCCTGAACAGATGCACCAGTAAGAGATGTGACAAAATGTCAAGTGGAATGTGCCTGAGGGCTTGGAATTTGGCCGTGGACATAGCAGATGAGTCCCCAGGATGGCATGTCCCCCAGAGGCCCAGCATGCTTTGGTGACAGCTGTGATTTTTATGGCCCAGTTTCGATGACAGTTTGGGAGGAGTCAGCTCCACTCTGTTCTGATAGGAATTTGGTTTGTCATCAGATTCTAAAATCCCTCTGATTTACAGCATCAGCCACTGTTGGAGTTTTACTTAGATGCATATCCTGTACTCTTTCCCTGTGGATAACAGACTGATGGAGGTTAAGGTGCAAACAGTAATGTTTCGATTAAACTAATTGGGAGGAAAAGGAAAGTGGTAGGTCATTACATGATAGGAAGCATAGTGAAAGCTCCAAAAATCATTCGTTAAGACCACTTTATTCTGAAAATGGACAGCTCCTCCACAGTGGTATAGACACCAACAACATCCACAATCTGACAGAATTATGCATGTTTCAGGGAATTAAAAGATTTATCCCAAAGTACTGAAAGAACTGGCTGATAGCATCTGAGACCTCTCAATTATTTTTCAGTGATCTTGGGAATTTGGAGATGTCCCAGACAATTGAAAGCTGACACTTTTCCAGAAGGGCAAGAAAGAAGACTCTGATAATTATTGGCCTGGCTGTCTCACTTCAGTGCCTGGCAAAATTATGGGGAAGATTATTCTGAGAGTTACTGAAAAACACCTGAAAGATAATGGAGCCATTGGTCATTGTCAAAACAGATTCACAAGGGGAAAGTCCTGTTTAATGAACTTAATTTCCTTTCAAGATACAGTTACCCAGGTAGGTACCCAAGGGAAGCCAGTGGATGCAGTTTTCTTGGACTTCAGTAAATTTTTTGATACTGTTTCTCATGGTACTCTTCTGCACAAAATGTCTGGCCTATAGCTAGACAAAAACATAATGTAATGGATGAGAAATTGGCTGATGGATTGGGCTCAAAGGGTTATAACAATTGGGGTTAAATCAGGCTGCTTGCTGGTCATTAGAGGGTTCTGCAGAACTCTCTATTTTAGGACCAGTTCTCTGTAGAATTCATTGAAGACATGGATACAGGATTCAAAGGTATGCTAAGAAACTTTGTAGATGATACTAAACTGGAAGAAACTGTTGACTCCCTCGGGGATAGAGAAACCTTTCAGAGAAAACTTCATAAATCAAAGGGCTGGGTAATCATTATCTGCATGAAGTTCAACATGGGCAAGTGCTGGATTCTGCACCTTGGATGTGTACAAACTGGAGAACAAGTGGCAGATCCCAGATCTGACTGGGACTGGGGGGTTGTGGCTGAATCTGAGCCAGCAGTGTGCCTTGGCAGCCCAAAGGGCCAACTGTACCCTGGGGTGCATCAGCCCAGCACTGCCGACCAGGTGGGGGAAGGGTTGTCCTGCTCTGCTCTGTGCTGAGCAGCCTCACCTCCTGCACTGGGTGCAGCTGTGGGTGCCACAATGTAAGAAGGACATAAAACTGTGAGAGAGCATCTGAAGGAGGGCTACGAAGATGGGAAGGGGTTGGAGGGCAAAACATATGAGGAGTGGCTGAGTTCCTGTGGTTTGTTCAGCCCAGAGCAGAGTTGTTGAGGGGAGGCCTCATGGTGGCTTACAGTTTCTCACAAGGGGAGTAGAAGAGCAGCCCTGAGCTCTGCCCTCTGATGACAGTGACAGGATCTGAGGGAACGGTATGGAGCCGTGTCAGAGGAGATTCAGGATGAGAGTTAGCATCTGCACCAGAGGGCAGTGGGCTTGGCAAAGGCTGCCCAGGGCAGTGGGCATGGCCTCAAGCTGCCAGAATGCAAGCTGCCAGAATGCAATTTGGACTCTGCTCTCAGACATAGGGTGGTGCTGTGTTGAGCCAAAAGTTGGACTCAATCTTCCAACTCCGGATATTCTATGATTTTCTGATTCTAACAAAGACCTACCCTTGGTACCAAGTACCCTCATATTTGCCTATGACAAAGTAAATCCCAGAAAGGTGATCTGTGAATGAGCTTGGAACAAGAACTTTAGAACTTTAGAAGTAGGTGTCAAATGCCTTCAGCCACACAGGGTAAGGGCCATGTCAGCACGGCACTAGTCAATTCTTCAGCTCCCATTTGGTGTGACCTTGATGTGGATTTCCTTGTTCACTTAACACCCAGTAGGGAACCAATCTGGCACTTGCAGAGTCATTTAGGATACAAGCTCCTGGATTTTGTAACCTTTTATTTTGCAGGCCTACTAAGACACAGATAGCACTAATGGTTTTTGTGCTAGTCAAAAATCCCATTTCCACCAGCATAGGCATTTAATTCTCGTTTTAAAATAGGACGTTATAAGATAAGGTAGATTCATTCTGGTGGACCTCTCTGGTACTCCTCACGAGCTGTGCTACAAATGTGGCCTGAAGCCTGAAGACTTCAAAGATCACATTTCTTGGAGATGACAACAAAACATTCAAAATCACTGGGAAACTTGTGGCGAAACTGTGTGTGCTCTATGGGATCAAAAGGAGCTCACTAGTGGGAATACTGAGCATGGCACTTGGGGCTTTCCCAGCAAAATGCATGTATTTCCCTCCTGGAGCAAGTTCGGATGCAACAAGATTCCTAGCATCATTCTCACCCTTGGGTCTCAGTCACCCACCTCCCTCTTTTCTCCAGATATTCTGCCACATGCCATTTCTAGCAGTTGGATTAGAAATTACTTCTATTTCCACTTCCTCAGATTCATTGCATGTTTGTAAAAGCATATCTTACTAAGTCTCCTGTCGTCCATTGTTCGTTTTTTCAGGCAAAAGGTGTAAAGATACTGTACATTTCTAAAGTGGGGGGGAAAAAAAAAAAAAAGGAAAAAATACGAAATTATATTTGATCCTTTTTTATAAAGCACAAATTGAAGTGTTATATTTCTTACTGAAAGTTATCTGACTACAGATGAAAAAGCGTGGGAAAAACCATGGCAGAGCAACAGCAAGAAGTAGCTCAACCCCAGTCCTTGTCATAGAGCATGCAGTGGACACAGAGAGTCTCCAGAGATCTGATGCAACTGGAGATTTGGAAAGAAAATGAACAAAGCCAAACTATCCCTTGAGTGGAATAATTCCAGTTCAGTTTCATAAATCAGATACAGTTTGGATCTGTTGGAAAACTGTAAGAAAGAGATCAGTCAGTACACCTGAGTACTTCTGTTGGGCTGTAAAATCTCCATAGTTTTGTAATCAATCAATCTGTGGAGATGGAAAAGTTCATTCCCTGGTGAGTGCGTTCTACAGATTCCAACTGTGTTTTTGCAGAATCATCTTTTTTCTCCATTTGCCATCCCAGGACTTTGGAAGTGGTGTTACAGTACCTCTCACAGCTAGCTCAGAGTGAGAGAGGTGTATGATTAGCATTAGAACTCATTCCCAATGGACTGTTTGTTCTTTATGGCTATTTTATTTTATAGTCCAGCTATTATCCTACTCCACAAATGTCTAATCAGATAGCAAGTGCTTCCTTGGGGCCTTGGGATCCTTCATATAATCTGGGGATAACACTGAAACAGGTAAGGTCAGTGTCACCTGAAACAGAATAATACATTTCCTATTAATAGTCTAACTGTTTTCACCTGATTTCCAAGTGATTGAGAAAAGCAGGCACCATCCTTCTGCTTTCATATTTAGAGCAACAGCAACACTGAAGTGCAGACCTTGGGCAAGGTGAGTGGCCAGTTAATTGCAGAGAACACAAAGAACAAGGCCAGTACAACTGTTAACACAATCAGAAGGTATGAATCACTGATCTTAGAGCCCAAAAGGCTCCTGAACTCCACACCCATTTGAATAAACAATCAGAATTTCGGTACCATCTATCTGCTTCTAGACTCTGCAACACTTCATAGATTTTTTTTCACTGAGAAATGTTTTCCAGATTTCTTTTACTTCTTGCCAATGATACAAATACCACAAAACAGACTATCTCAAAGTGTTCTGGCAAATAATTCAGGTGTTGGCCAAGATTCTAATACACATTGTCTACATTAGGCTTTTATAACATGTCAGCTAGCCCCTGATAGCTACCATGTGGTGATAACGACTATTCAGTCCAAGCCCTAAATGAGATGGAGAAAGTGCTTGAGTAAAGAAGGAACACATCTCTGCAGTGATGCTCCTATTCCTACAATTTCTGCAGTTCCTGGAAAAAGAATGAATTCAGAGGCCTGGACTGTTAACACAGAAATAAGTCCTGCTCTTTCTAAACTAATACTTATGGTTTCTTCAACACTATTTGTCACTACTATATCTTGATCTTTTTTTCTTCCAGCTTACTGAATTGGATGTTGTGGAGAGCCTAGTGGTGCAAATCACATGTCTGTAAAGAAGGAAAATTGATTGTGTCACAGCAAATGAGCTGCTGCTGGTCTGATCAGCCTCATGAAGTCAAGGTTTGCACTCAAGTGCCATTAGTTTGGAGTTACATGTCAGGTATAATTTAATACTGAGAATCTAGAAGTGTCTGACTGGACTTTGGAGAGAGCCTAACCCCTCTGTTCTGCATGTCAAATTAACTACCCAGTAGTGAGTTCCCCTGGCAAAATGATCACCCGTTGGCCAGCTGCCACACCACAAACCTCCCCATACAACCGTCTCAGAAATGGAAACTTGTTATTCTTTAGCTGCCCTGTGAATACCCGTTCTGTCAAGGCAGGAGGGAAATATTTGGGGCAGGCAGGCTGAGAAAACAGAGAGGTGTTGGGTGTCAGAATTGATTTAAATGGGCTGCAGCTTTGCGCATAAGCACTGGAGCTCAGCAGCCAGAGGATGGAAGGTAGCAAGAGTTGGGGCTTAGAGGCAGAAGGAAGTGCGCTAGAGATAACCTTGAATGCCCAAGAGCTTCATTTGGATGTAAGAAGAGAGCATTGTTTGTTCCAGCATGACATGTGAGGTCTTCCTAATTTTCAAAAGCATTCACAGGTGGCATTTGTGTTTACAGGACTCCTGGTACACTGTTGCTGGCAAATTAATGAACATTACTCCCCAGATGCCCTTACAGGCTGAGCTGCTAGGGGACCAGGTAAGTATGAGAATAACAGACTCAGTCTCAGCAAATGTGATTCTGTGATTCTGAAATGAACTCTATTCGAGTCTGTTGGGGAGTTAACAGTGCCCAGTGGTCGCAGAGACAAAGCCTTCTTAAAGAACTTTAGCATGCACTGAGCACTTTTGGGTGCTTCTCCATCAAGGAGATCCCTGTGTCTCTACAGCCTCTGCCTTATTCAAACAAGGAGACCTGCTGGAGCACGTATCTCTCTAACTGCAGAGAAAACTGGGCTGGTAAGGGTTGGTGAATATCATCTGTCATCCGGTCATGCAATTGGTACGTATTCAGAGCATGTCCAGATGCCAGGATTTGGAAAGTGGCAAATTCGGATGCCTTGATATAAAAGTGATCATGATTTAGAATCATAGGATTCCGGCTATCCCAAGGTCTCCAGCCCAAGACCCTGCTCAAAGCAGAGTCAGCTGTGAGAGCAAACCAAACTGCTCAGGGCTTGCTTAGAGAACACAAATCTTGAAAACAGATACACATACTTGCCGTTTTGTTCAGGAGGACATGCCATATATGACTATTTCCTCAGTCATAAATGATATTAGTTCTTCATGCTTTCAAGTAGTTTTTCCCCAGTTTCCACCACTGACTGTCAGCTCCACTCTATGATGCCTAAACAGAGCTGAGACAAAGGACAGGGACCCTGAATAAATACATTAGTGATAAATATGTTTCACTTTTCTTCCAAATCTATTCTGAAACTGTTGCTAGGCTTGGCAAAGTAGCCTACACTAAAACATACCTTGCATGAAGCCACTTCCTTTCTACTTATAAATTTAGTTTTCTCTTTCTTTCCTACTGCCTGTCACCTGAAGTTATGAGGATTTTCAGGAGACTTTCTGGCTTATTCCACCTCACAGAAGAAGGCCCCTTGACTAATTTTCTTTCTCTTTTCTCATATTCAGTAGCTTTACACACAACATATCCTTCTAAAATCCATTTTGTATCAAAAGTAAATCTAGTTACACTCTGCATTACATATCACTGTTATATGTGTGCATTTACATTGTTCACTTGCTTACAATAATAGAGATATGTTTATCATAATTTATTTTCATAATTTATTTTATTTATTTTATTTATTTTGCAAATACCAACATATTCAACTCACTGTTAACAATTCTGTTGGGCACAACCTAGTATGGGGTGTTCTAACCTGTCACCCCATCAACAGTTGAGCCGGTTTATTATATTTTGTTACTTAGCTCTTCTAGCACTGCTGTGTCACTCCTGACACAAGCCCTTTCCCAGAACTTACCTGGAGGTTTTCATTACCTGGCCAGTTCCATCTATGCAGCTACAGCCCAGGCAATTCAGTATGCATACAAGCCCAGTATGCAATTCAAATTATCCTGCAAGATTTGGATTTGCTGTTGTGCCAGTCATGCCATCGCCACCAAATTTTCATGCTGTTCCTTTGACAGAATGAAATGCAAACACTGGGAGACATTTCAAAGATGGCTTGTGAATTTTCACTTGCCCATCTGACTGTTGTGCAAGTGTGGAGTGTGATCTATTTTTAATCACAACTCCAAATTCTGTACAATTCAAACACTGTCAGCTTGCCTGCAGACAAGCTATATGATATGTATGTTTATGAACTTGCCACTGATTTGTATTAAGGGCCTGACTGTACCTCAGCCTGCAAAATCAAATTAGAGCAGTGGAAAAGTATAATTCTCTACCCTCCCCCAGAAATACCATGCTTGGAGAACAGCAGGTGCAAGTTTCAAGGCCAGGTCAAGATCACGGTCAAAATGTGACCCTTCATGCCAAATTATCAGTCAAAGATCATCTCCTCTTCCTTCCTAACAGCCCATAACAACAGATGCTCTTACCAGAAACTTGAAGCTTGTCAGCACTGTCTGCAGTTCAATATATTCTTTGTAAATAAAGATCCTGTAAGACATTAAACTCAACCTTTTAGTGAAATTGGAGCTGAATGTATCTGCATTACAGTTGCATTTTATGTAGTATGTTGCAGGGTGAAGGCTTGTTCTTTGCAGATGTTTCAATTCAGTTTGGTTGCATCCTCAAGATCTAGCGAAATAACTCTTCCATAACTGTATTTTGGTTAGACAGCTAGACAGCTTATTTTGTACACTCAGCATTAGTACAGACTGCAAATCTAGATAAAATACTTGGTAAAAGAATTAGATTGCCCTGCACACCCACTCCTGCCACTCAACAGATTTGATGAGCAACAGCAAATCAATACCTGGAGACATCTTTGTAATAACTAGCCAAAGAAAGCTCCAGAATATAGATGGTCTTCACAGAGTGCCTGGAAGGCCAGTGCCACAGGCCACTCTGCATGCGGGGATGGGATTGATAGAACTGAGGGCCTTTACACAACCCCAATTCCTATTCAAGATGACAGAATGCACTATGTTCAAGTTTTCTTTTGCTCCCCAGTATCAAGAATACATAGCTTAAACCCATGCAAAGGCAGGGAGAATTGCAGGCATAAACAAAAGGAAGATTTGCATTCCTCTCACTGGCTGCCAGCCCATCCACAGCTGTCTCTGATCCCTACCTGGATGACATGCTTAAATTTGATGAGGGGTGAACACTACAACAGTCTGCAGAATGGCAAATATACTCCTTCAGCCAGTATCCTTGAGATAACTAGCTTTTTTTGGTTGCTTCTCCCAGCCTTCAACATCCGAACTCAGGGAAGGACCTTAGGTACCCTGCTGGCCCTGAGCAAAATAAATGTTTGTGGAGACAATATGAAGGGGATACCAGGTTTCTTGCTAGCCAAAGCAATGACTGAATTTATAGGCACAGGGTAGGGTGATTTCAGTTTAGAAAGGAACCTTTCTGTTCTGTAAATCTCATGCCTACTCTAACATCAGTACATCACTACATCAGTACTCCAATACAAAACTAACACCAGGTCTAAAGATATTTAAGTACTCTGAAATAGATAAGGAGACAAAGATTCACATACAAGAAGAAAAAAATGCTCCAAAGTGTTTCCAAATATTTTGCCTGCCTGTTAATTTTTGGCCTCTTAGTGCCTCCCACCAGGATGAGTAAGGTGCTTAGAAGACGACATTTTGAATCATCATTGCCCTACTTCACAGATTTATAGAAGCCATTATATATCATATAGGTCTGCCAGTAACTGAGATCCTGTCTATGCTGACATTATCTGAAGCAAAAGCAAAGCCTTCACGGCCACCCCGCCTAATCAATGTTCTCACTTAACTCATGCTGCCCTTTCCTTCCCCAGGATTTTCAGTTCAACCATGAACTGCATCCAAAGGCTACTTTGTTCTTAATGAAATAACAAGGTTGAAATCATCTGGTGCTGTGATCACTGAGTGTGATCACTGAGAACGCCTCAAGGGAGCCTTCCCAATTAACCTCAGCAGAAAGCTTTTGTAAGCCTACGAAGAGGAAGCCAGCCAGTTTATGAGTTTCTTTCAGGGATATGACATTTCTGAGTGACCTTGTACACCACAGGAAGTTTCTGATCTTAGCGGTTTCCCCAGAGCTGTAACTCTAAAATACTCCCTGAAACAGCCCCACTACAACTGTAAGGTTTCCCAGATTCCATGCCTCATCATGCACATTCCTCATAATACTTACAGTGGCAGTGCCCAACCTGTTTCTCATGAGGACCAAAGCACCCATTTCCCCATTGCCTCTTCTGTGGCCTCCCTGAGTGCATTACCTGAAGTGCTTCTTAAGTGGACACATTTCTCACTCACACTTTTAATGTTCTTTCCATAGCTTTTTTATTTGTATTTTATTTATTTATTTGTTTGTTTATTTATTTATTTATTTTTGAGAATAGGATCTCCCATCTTGTAAATGTCATCTGCATTTTTTTTGTTTCTATATGTGTTACTGGATTTGGATTTGGATGTATTCACACATACGTTCAACTGCTTTCAGCCTAATGATTAACCCCATTTTCTTTACATCCATCACATGCTCTCACCTCATTTACCATGTCATAAGTCCTGTGTGATCACATAACTTAATCAGAAACTCTTCTTATACTTGCTTTAATCATCAGCAAAAATATTCAACAGTGCAGGACTAAAATCAGAACTCCATGAGAACTGAACAGAAACACATACCCCTTCATTGAAGAGTCCCCATTAGCAAGCAGTTTTCAGTCATTTAGCTGACTTCTAACTCGTTTAATATGCGTTGTAGTGTCTTGGCACTAGCCTAGTTTGTAATCAGAATGCAAAATACTTCTAAATCCCATTCTCTAGAAATTGGACTCTACATTAACTCTACATTAACAAGATTAGCATTGGTAGTCAGTATTACTATATTTTTAGTAAACAATGTGACGCTATTTTATTAGAATCTATTTTCCATGAAACCTCATTTACTAACACTCACTAAATTTCTGTACTTGAACTGTTTATTGATTGTGTACCACTGCTGTTTTTCCCAGTATCACTATCACCCTAGCTGACCCGTAACTTCCCCTGTTAGGCTATTTATCACTTTAAAATGTCAACAGACTAGCTTCTTAATATTTCACTGGAAATTATTCCAGTTCCTCAAAACTTGAGAAATTAAATCGAGTACCACAGAAAGTTCCATGATCCACTTTAAAATGTCTTGACTGCAAGCTAACAAGATGGTTTTAAACTAAGACAGGAGAGGTTAAGTTAGGTATTAGGAGGAAGTTTTTCACACAGAGGGTGTTGACACACTGAACAGGTTGCCCAAGGAGGTTGTGGATGCCCCATCCCTGGAAGCACTCAAAGCCAGGCTGGATGTGGCTCTGGGCAGCCTGGTCTGGTGGTTGGTGACCCTGCACTTAGCTGAGGGGTTGAAACTAGATGATCTACCCAGAGAGGCTGTGGATGGGGACCCAGACCCTGGGGCTGGGTCTCTGGAGGTGTTCAAGGCCAGGTTGGATGGGGCCCAGGGCAGCCTGATCTAGTATTAAATGGGGAGGTTGGTGGCCCTGCATGTGGCAAGGGGGTTGGAGATTCATGATCCTTGAGGTCCCTTCCATCCCTGGCCATTCTGTGATTCTGTGATCATCATTGTGATCCTTTTCAACCCAGGCCATTCTGTGATTCTATGAAGATCTTCTGACTTCAAGGTATTTAAACTTTCACAGTAACTGTTCATCTCAACCGTTGTCAGACTGTGCCACATCTACAAGTACAGTGCTCTAATACTATAGATCTTATTTTGGGCTACTTTCCAAGTTCTGTGCTCCAAGAATTGCACAGGCTTTTGGATCCTTTTCAGAGGAAGATATTGTTTCTAAGTTTTGGAACTCTCCATGTCTTGGTGCCTCATACGATGGTCATGACTGGTCTGAATGAGATTCTCCGCTTGATGGTCTTTCTTGTGCAAAATCACAGCTACAAAGTTAAACATTCCCAAGGAAACTCTAAGAAATTCCCCAAGGAGAGGTTCATGTTTAGCACATCAAAAATGAGCTATGTTTCATCTTTTCTTAATCAAGGATAGCATTTTGTTTTGTTTATTTTTTATTTACATTTTACTTACCATCAGTTGACAGCATGCGGGTATTTGGTTTTAAAACCACAAATACTCAGTAAGGCAATCTGCACTGGATTTCTTACATTTGTTAAAATAATTCCACTAAATGTTACTGGTTTTGTATCTTGTACAAGATACTTATCTTTCATACGTGCTAATTAACTTGTGTGTGTGCATCTATATAAACTACATATGTCATCAAGTTATTTTTTGCCTGCCTTATTAATATTTCATCCTTAATGAAGGACAGTTACTGATTGTCCTTTACCTCCCCTGTCTTCTTATTCTCTGCTAAGACACTATCCATAAGTCTGGGAGTCCAATTATGTACACCAGCCAATCAAAAAATAATAATTTACTTCCTTTAAGTTGAATAAATCTTTTTTACTTTAAGAATTTTTTTAAACATTTTTACAGACAGGCAAACTGTCTTTCTTTTGTATGTATCACCAACCATGTAAGTATCCAGGCTTTCTTCTCATCCATCCTCAGTAACACTCAGGGGTCTATTGGCTAATTTGGGTTAAGATTGCTTTACAGACTGAAAGATCAGAAAATGTACGTAATTCCTGTTACTGTTGTAGTGACAGTGTCTGCAAGAGGAGACACTCCAGATGGTTCATGAGACACAGACTTAATAACCAGATGCAGAGAAGATAGGACACTTCCTTTCAAAAAGTGTAGCAGATACCAACACTCAGTTGAACCAATAAGAAACTTGATATTTTTAACAATCCGTTTTTCAAACACTAGTCAAGTTGGAGTTATTGAGAGTATTCTTTAGAATGGCCTTTTCCATAACAACCACGCAAAATTGCAGAGCAGATGGAACATCTGTGGAATTCTTTGAGCGTTGAGCATTAAGTGCAGGGTCTTTTTTAACTGTGAAGGTGACGTTCACAAGCCATGTCATTACTCTGTGTGCTTCAGTCCCCCTCATGCTCTCTTAGTCTCTTCCTCTTTTTTTTTTCTTTTGCAGTTGTCAGTTCTGTGCATGTAACAGGACTCCACTGAAGCCACGCAGCACTTTTCATTCTCCGCAGCAGCATTACGCACATGCTCTACTGGCTCAGCTAATCCCTGTGTTTCTCGAGAATGGAGGTCACCTCCTGGGAGAGGACTGAAGGGAGATTCCTCCTCCTCTGTGGAGATGCCAAATACAGCAACACATGGAGCCAGTTGGTGTGAGTTCATGAACAAAGTGTGACACGTGAAATAAAAGATCTATGTAGCGGATGTTCTTTCCTGACATTTCCAAGTCTATAAAATACGAAGTGACTAATAAAATGCAAAATGCAGACCTATTTCATCCCACGACTGCTACAGGGTGGTAGTAACTTGAGAAGGAGAAGGGAGTTATCTGTATAATTGTTTCTGATTCAAGGACAGAACTTCTTTCCTGTTTTTAAATGATGTGGTACAAAAGGGCAAGGAATGAGCTCCCCTTAATCCAGGTATATACAACTGAATTACTGGCTTCCTGTGCTCCATGATCCCTCTCTGCTCTGACAGTGTTTTGAAATTGCTTTTCCAGCATTCTTCTTTGATGTTTTTTGGATATCAATGCCAATGTCGAGACAGTCTTTTAAATAAACAAAGTTACGAACCAGCTAAGGCTTTGAGATGAAGGGCAAAGGTTTGAAAGAGGGCTTATCTATGGTTCAGCTGGGGTGCCCTGGATGCATCAGCAGAGGAAGTAGGCATGGCACCGCACTGACTTCAACTTTCTTGGACCTATTGCTGTCATGACCTTGGAGAGCACACGGTCAATATTCACAGAGAAGGGCAAGGCAGCTGGTGTTTTATGTCAAGGTTGTAACATGGGTAGAACTCTGTCTCAGGGACAGCTGAGGGCAGTATCCAGAGTTCTCTAATTTTGATACTGCAGACCTCACCACTTCTGGAGGCAAAACAAGTAACATCTTCTAAACATAGGCCTGTTACCTCACAGCAATTCTTAGGGAGACTTAATGGGACAATTGAGCCAACACAGTCTCAATTACATATAGCTAACTTCACTGTAAGTAGAATTGTTCCCAAAGGGACTTTTGCTCTCAGAGAAGAGCAAATACTTGACTAAGGAACTCTCAGCCTGGGATGTGAGCATTTTCCTCTGGAAGGGGCAATCAGGTGTTGTGAATAATTCTGTCTGCTGTTGCATGAAATCTTGATCTTCATAGTTTTGTGACACAATCCTTCTGTCCCTCGACAAGCCTAACGAAATAGCAAATAAGTGAAAAGTCCCCCAAAATCTAAACAAAAACACTGTTCTTTCTCCATTATTTGACACGCTATTTGCAGACATTGTTTATGCTTACTATTTTCTTAGTGGTACTGTCCGCTCTTGCCCATTCTCTTTTGCTCTACTGCCTGGAACACTGAGTTTGGCAGAAGCTGCTGGGAAAATCTTATCCTAAATCTGCCATAGCACTTTTAATGAAAGAGAAGGTCTTAGCCATGATGTCCTGGCTGAAGGCCAGCCCCAGTAATTGCATACTGGATTCTTGTAGTTCCACGCGCTTTCAACCAGAGTCAAGATTCTTCAGCTCTGCCACAGGGTTTTATGCCATGCACTCTGATGCTTAGTTCATAACAAAGTATATGCTCCATCATCACCTGAGCACCCACTTCATAACAGTCTCTGCCTTCTTTCAGCATCACCCAAAGATATGTCACTTTTCTATGCCTGAATAAATTTAATCCAGAGCTGTAATGTAAATATTTTTCAAGCTTTATGTCCTGTGTTGTGCACTGATTTAACATATTAAAGACCTTAGCAGAATGCAACTAGCAGGCATCAACTCACTAAAGAAATCATAGCTCTGAATTTCTTAATATTTTGAAATAAAAGTCTTAACTTTCATGACACATCATTTATATATTTTTACAGCATTACAGTCATATTTTACAAGCTATCTATTCATGTGTTTCAGTACCTCTGATCTACCATTTCTCAGGCCCTTGGGGAAATGGGGAGGTTTCATGCCCTGATTGAAATTCACCAGATTCCCTTCATGCTCCTGACTCAAGTCATTGCAAATAATTCTACCTAGATGGCAGGTCACTTGTAGTTTCATCAAATCAGAAACTGTAGTACATGCTCCTGTGTAACAGAGACAGAAAAAATATTCAAACCCTTGAAGGTAGGACTTATTAGATAGTAAGTTTGTCAATGTTTAGATGTTTTGTTCTGTGGAAAGTTCTGATACCAACATTTATTTTGGACCCACATCTGGCAAAATGTTGGAACAGTAATATTTTTTACTGAAAGCAAATTTGTCCTTTCTCAGAAAAACTTCAGCTTCAACTTGGTTCAGTATAACTGTGTCCCCCTTGGAACTGCTGCAGAGCCTCATGAGGGTGATACATCATGTTTTTCAGTTGACAAAGTTTCCGGGCAGCATCCTGTGATGTTTTGTGGCCATTTGGCTCTCAGAGTACATTGCAAAAATTTAATGAGAGAGATGATTATGATGCATTATGGGAGTAAGATGTCTATAAATTACAGTGTCCACAAGGCACATTATAACTCTTGTGGACATAAATTAAAACTGAGCTCCTCCATCATGAAATGTTTTAATTCAGTGCTTCAATTTAGACTCAGCTAATTCAAAGCAAAGCATTTTCTTTTTCCCACTGGGGATTAAAAATCTTGAACAAAATGCCATGGGGAAATTCAGAGTTCTTAAAGACTGCATCTCCATTCAGAAAAAGATGTTCATGGGAAATATACGACCTCTTATTATACATACTCAATTTCCATATATTTATATAAATGTGTAGATATACATATATATATACTGTAACAAATAAAGAAATACAAGCCAGATCTGTTAAATATAGCTCAATATACACTTGGTGATATATAAATTGCAGTTTGATGTATAACAAGAAAGTAGCAAGTTGGTCACAGGAAGTCAAAGAACATTTTTTTTCTAATCCCTATACAGATGAATCTATATATTACAAGCTCAGCCCCCTGGAAGTTATTTTGCTCAGTCTGTAAGGAATAAGGGCAAGAGAAAGAAGAGGAAAAGATTGTGCAGTTCACCCTTACCTTGGTGTGTGCCTAGTACTGCCAGGCCCCCTATGACTTCATTATTATTCCATAATAACATATAACATATAGCATAATAACATTCTTAACAATTTGGAAACTTCTAATTACTTTTGCCCAGTTTTCTGGCTTCCCATTTTACTAGATTATTTTTTCCCAAGACAGAGTTCTGCTATTGCATTGAGGCAGAAATCTAGTTTTTATGCATTGTTGTCAAAGTCCAATGTATATCTGCTATATTATCATTGTATATTACAAAATGTTTCACTTACAGGAAGCTGTTACTTAATTCACTTAGTTAATTACTTCATTTGGGCTCCCAGAATAATTATTATATAGAGTAATTATTTCTTGTGGTTGATTCTTTTGTCCAGTTGTTTGTTGTTGTTGTTTTGAAATGAAACTTCTATTTATGTTTACTCTGTTATGAGGTATCTTCATGGGAAAAGTATGAAATTGCCCTCATTCTATCTTTATTTCAGGATTCATGAGTCATTGTAGTTTGATTTGGGTACAAAATAATGGCAAAGCAGCTTTAGAAATAAGGATGTCGCAGTGACACTGTTGGTGTTTAGAGGGTGTTGGTCTCTCACTGCTATGTCATTATTTCTGTAAGAAACGTGCTAACGGTGGTAACTTGGCTCCAGCTACGAGAGAGCCTATGGCTGCATCACCCCTGTCAGCCAGATCCCGCTTCAAGCCTGAGGGAGGGGATATTGCTTGTGCCACTGTGGTTGCAAGCAACAAAGCTGCTAGAAGACATAAACTCAGAAAGTTCATTGTTGGAGGCAAATAGTCATCTCCAAAATTCCCTTAGGTTTCTGATCACCAGTTAGCTATTTAATCCCCTGCTCCACTCACCAGCCATTTATACCTGAAATGTTCTTCCCACGAATGCCATGATGGCATGCAGCTCTGAGTGGCTTCCTGATAAGCCAACTAGGCTGCTCTTTCCCATTTTGCTCATTCAGTTACAGGGAATGACTTGTTGATGTTATCCACACTCATGACCTTTTCAGAGTCTCTGCTTTCCAAGATGCATGCCCAGCATCCCCAGAGAGAACTGCTGCTCTGTGTTGACAGATGCAAACCTTTGTATCTGGCTTAATTCGATCTTACTTTTGCCTAAATGGTCCCATCCTACCAGGTGATCTAGTCTACACTAACAGTCTGAATGAGTGTCCACTCTACCTCATCTTTTAGGATACCATCAGCTTTGTCTTGTCTGCAGATTGTACTGGCTATGAATTTGTACTCCTCATAATGGGACACACTTGTCCCTATTTCCAAAATTGCATGATTGCTGATTTCATTCAAAAGTATCACTGTAGAAAATATGCGGAAGATAAACAGTATAGCAGCTGACAAAAAAAAAAAAAAGAAAAATACTGCCTCAGGAAGAGGACTAGCAAAATGCATTGCATGGCAAAGCACAGAGCAGAAACTGTCCAAGACATATAGCTTCACTACTCAGTCAAGGGTACTTCCAGCTTTTAAGTATAGCGAGGCAATGTGGCACTGTTAACCTTTGCAAGAGACTCCAATGTCCAGGGAGAACAAGTCTGTACAATGCAGGTTGCCTTTTCTCAGTGTCCTGAGCCCTTGTTGGATGACAGCATCACCATCTGTAGCTGCAATTTTGAGCTGCAAATAGCATGAAACATTTTTTCCTTCCTCTGTGCCCGCTATGCCATTCATGACACCAATGTCCTGCTGCAGACCCATACAGTCCTTATCCCATTTACACTCCTCCCCTATATTTGTGCCAGACTTATTTTGAGCCATTTATGCAAGCCATTAATCATAGTGTGGTTAGTTATTTAAAAACAAAAAGAATTACTTGTCTGTGGACGTGACAAGTCATTTCCAGCTACTGAACAACTCAGCAAGGGATTTTCTTTCTCTTTGGTTGAAAATACTCTTGATACACCAGAGAGGGTTTTATCTGTGTGTCTGTATAGAGGGAACATGCAAATATGTCCGAGGGGGTGAGATGGGAAACAGCCAACTCTTGAGCAGTTGCTAAAAGATGACACTTTGTAAACTATGTTGATAACCCTCTGTGGGAGGAATAGCAAAAACTTAATTAATACTGAAATATATCAAGAGAAGTCTTATTTTTATCATTCAGGAGAGAGCCTACAGGACTTTTTGTATTTAACTTCTTGTGTAGTACCTTGACTCGGAGGGAGGCTGAGACATTTGACCCAGAATAAGGTGACCTACAGTTTTCAGTGGTTAACTTTGGTCAGTCCACACAAAAATCTTGCTGACTTCTGGGAAGGTTAAAGATCAGTCTTGCATTTTCTGAGATCCAAACTAAAATGAAGAACTAAATAGCATAAGAACCTCAATTACAAGGCGACCAAAATCAGTTTGCTACTGACACATTGAGTATATTTGTAAAGTTAAGAAACCTTTTTGTACATCACCCCTGTGCTGGTAATTGGCAACAGCAGGATACAAATTACTTTTCCACCTATCAACACTTCTGTTTTAAAAAAATGTTTTGTGTTTTTCTTTGTACTGAGACATGCCCCAAACCTTTTAAAATTACCATCAAAAGAACAGAGATAGTAGATGGAAGAGCTGGTAGTAAGAGGTAGCATATGAGAAACTGAAGACTGGGTCAAGTGTGACTCAAACAACAAACCTGACTCTACTTCTTTATAAGTCAATACCTCAGCTAAATGACTTTCGTCTTTTCTAGGTCAGGATAGTCTCATTACAGAGGGAAGAAATTTGGATAAAGCATATTCATTAAATATAGGTTTGGCCCTGCAAAAAGTTGCAGTTTATTTATTGACAAGATGTTGAACTCAAATACTCCTCCCCATTCCAAATAGTATTTTTCAGCTTTCAAATTTTGCAGTTTCCTCTGGTAGGTAGATTTTTCCATGTTGCTTCAGTTTAAGTTTTACCTGCTGTAGGGAACCTGCTTTGGCAGGGGGGTTGGACTCGATGATCTCTGGAGGTCCCTTCCAACCCCTACAATTCTGTGATTCTGTGTGATTCTGTAAGTGAATAGAAAACTTACTGTGAAATCTTCATTGTCAGTGGCATTCAGATACTGTACTTATCTGCAGAGGCCATTCCAGGTCCCCCTTGAAGGAAGTTTCTTGGTTTTACTGAAGAATACAACATAAATAGTGAATAACAATAGAACCATATAGTGAAAGCCATTTGCTGAGAGCCATAATGAGAGAACAGCTGTGACTGCCTCTTCCACTGGGTCAAAAGTCAGAGACAGCATAGCTGAACACAAAAATATGGTGAGCAAATCTTTGTATAGTGTCACAGAAAGAAGCCTAAAAATAGTCCAAATCTCCTTTCTCCTCTTATTTAAATAAATCATCTTTCCAAGGAGAACCGACACTTTGCAGCCTCACAGCCATATTTATAGGAGGTGGTAATAATTTGCAAGAATGGTTTAAGCTGGGGGGGAAGTAATTGATCTGGATGGCCAGAGCAGATTGGTGATGAATGATTTAAACTGCAACATGGTGAACTGAGATTACATAACAGGGAACTTCATAAAAATGATATCTGAGCAAGAGAAAAGGCTTTGAAGAGGTGTGAAAGATTCAGAGAGCTTGAGGCGCATCAGGTCAGGGCTTTTGATCCCTCCCGACATAGCGCTTCTCCAGCAACACAAGACATGGGATGCCTGCAGCCCTGAGAGACACAAAGAACATCTCCAGGCTGCTCTCACTGTTGCTCTAGCTTTACTGTGCCACACAAGGAGGCAAGGTGTGGCAACGCTGTGGAAATCCAGACTGTGACATCCTTGCTTCCTTGGGTCCCTCTGTATAAGGCCAGTGGTGTGGCTATGGTCCAGATGACTGTCAGCCATAGGAAGAGCTAAGTAAAAGACCTGCGTGCAGTCAGCCAGTGACCACACTGCATGGACTGTGCTACAAGATTAGTGACAGCACTACTGTTACGTTCTGAAGTATCTGTCTCATCTTTACCCCATACTGAGCCATACAGACGGTTGTTCTAGGTTGGAGTTCCCAGATCTAAAGCAAAGTCTGTTCATTAAACCAGAGAACAAGCTGCCCTGCACAACACCACACTGTGGGTGTCCTGTTCCCTGGAGGGTGGGTAGCTCCAAATCCCGGTTGCTGCAACAAACACTTCCCTTCTTTCCATTGCAGCCTGGAAGATAAAAAGAAAGGAAAACCAGCCACGCCCAGGAAAAGGGAGTTGACATGAAGTTTTGAATGTAGCTGAAATGTAAATGTCAGCGTACCACACAGGAAACCATGCTGAGCTATATATGTCTGACTCCCTTTTCATTTTTTAAACATCTCCTTAAGACCAGCTGATAGCATTGCTTTTTAGTAACAGACACACATTATCAGACACCATTCAAGGAAGAGTTCTGAAGAACGCATCAATTCTAGCAAGCAAGATAGTCCTGACTGTCATCATTTACTCAGTCCATTCTTAAGATGAAAAGGCTAAAGACGAATTTTTCTTCAGCTGTTAAAAGCATCAGCTTTATCAGAAATTGCTTGAAGAGAAGCGATATTTTAAAGACTGTAAAATTCTCTTTCCTGGGGAAATACAATGGAAATTTTCTTCTCTGTGCTTTCATGTCTTCCTGCTATATGGACTAAAGGGAGAAGGAAGTTATCAGGGATCAGAGCACATTTAAAAAGACTTAAGAAAACATCTACATAACTCCTGCTCCTTATAGCTGTGATTGAATGCTGCTGCCTCCTAGAGAATCTCAGCCTTTCCCAAGTTACGTGGAAATCTCTGTTTGAGAAATCAAATTGCCACTGCAGCTGCTAACTCCTTCTTTATTTTCACTGTCAGTCTCTGTTCAAGGGTGGAATGAGCAGAGTTGAATGAAAGTATTCATCATCACAGGCTATTTAAGAGATATGAGTGCCACACCATTTCACATGCCATGAACATGACTGCTGAACTAGGGAGCCGGATCATTGTGGAAAGTAGAATGAAGAGCTGTAGCTGGTGATTTGAGAGCAATTGACAGGCATTTCTGCTTCCTTAGCTGCTCTCTCAGGAGCAATGCATTCTGGTATTTCCTGCCATACAGTGAAGAAAACAAACCAGAAGGGGTTAATTCATTGGCTAA